GTTTCAAAGCTCAAACACTACTCAACTGTCTACCAGACTTACTTTATTCATTGCCTTGTTTTAATTACAATTGCAAATATTTTATGCCATTTCTTATTACCAATGGTTCCAAAGATATTTACTGTAATAAAAGCAGTCTGAAACAATATTTTTTTTTAAAAAAAGATGTGGCCATAGGGATGAGTAGGAAATGCCAAAATAAAAGTTGGAATTTAAAAAAATGCTTGAAATACTTCAGCATTTGTACTGCTGCTTGTACAGGTAGCTCTTGAACTATGGCCACAATTAATCTTGTAATTTTGGTTGTAAGTCGCAATCCCATAACCCAACCTGAACTGATTGAGAAAAAAATCAGATGATCCACTTTATCCAAGGTCCTTTTCTGCTGTCATGAGCTGCATCTCTTCCCCTCCCCACCCCATCAACACTGGTTGGAACAGTCCCTAAAGAAAGGAAGAAGCCGAACACAATACAGTGCCTCCCATCTTCAATTCTCAAAGCCAGCCAGAAGGATACCATGATTGAATAGCTTCTGAGAGGTCAAGAAGAGCCAGGATGGATCCAGTACCTCCGTCCCTTTCCTCCAGAGGTCACCCATGAGTGCAATCAATGCCGTTTCAGGCCCAACCCTGGTCTGAATCCTGATTAAAAGAGATGTATATAATCCACTTCGTCCAGAGGCTTCTGCAGTTGCTGTACAATTAATTACTTTCAACAATCTTCCCCCCACCCCCAAAAGAAGCTGGATACTGGATAAAAGCTACCCAGACTGCATTAAAACCAGTCCTTTTTGTGAAACCAGGGAAAGAGAAAGTTGGGGTAGCCTTGAACACTGACTTGGTGAAGAAATGTTTTTGTTTTTTTCACAAGTATTTAGTTGAGTGCAACTAAGGATTTGCAAATCTAGTTTGAGATTGGAATGTTCAGAAAACTACATGGGTAGAGCTGTCAATGTATTGACAGTGTCTGGAGGCTGTTCAGATCTGGATGGGGTAGAAAGACCAATCATGGGAAGATCAAGTGGCTGTTATTTGGTTCCCTGAGGTCAGAGTTGTTATTGGCTTGGATACACTTTCCAGTTCATGACTGGTGCACAACTTGGAATCTTTCTGGACTTGCAGCTACTTATTCAAAGAGCAGGAGACAGTTGTCAGGAGGGTGCTCCAGTTTGACAGTTGCACCATGTCCTCAATCAGAAGACCCTCCACACATTCATGTTCTGGTTTCCTCACACTGTGATTATTGCAATGTGTTCATGGGGCTACCCTTGAAAACCACCCAGAAGCTAAAGGTGATTCAAAATGCAAATGAGCGCCCATCACAAAGTCCATGTGTCACCACTGCTATACAAGTTGCAATGATTGCCAGTTTGCTTCCGAGTACAATTTAAGGTGCTGATAATTAATTATAAATCCCTGCACGGCATAATGCCTCAATACGTGAGAAACCACTTGTTTCCAGCTGTTTCTATCTGGTCAGTAAATTTTGGCAAAGTAGGTATACTCCAAGCTCTCTTAAAATGTTATCTTGTGGAACTGAGAAAACATGCCTTCTTTGTGGAACAGCAACCTATTCCTCCACTCAAGATAAGCACTGTGCCTCTATCTTAAAGTTTTGAAAATCCCTTAAACCTTGGATTTCATCCCATCCCAGAAGGGGGATTTTGATTCATTGATGATTACTATTGGGTGTTGTTTGCATGGTTTTATGTTTAATCTGTTTTGATTAATTTCTTTGGCTTTTTATGCCACCTAGCATCCATATGAGTTAAATGGCTGTAAAAAGTAAACTTGTTTATTTTCATGGTCATCTGAAATTATTATGAAAATAAACAAGTTTATTTGTATAGCCATTTAACCATATTGTTCTGGGGGCAGTCTGGCCATTAAGCTGTCTCTAGAGAATTGTCCATAGAAGAACCATATGGTCTGGAAAGGAAAAAGTACTTTTCAAACTTTTCCTGAATCTGCTATTATTAAATCTGCACATCCTTAAAATGCAAATTTTGTCTGCATAAACAGTTAAATTATCAACAATCATTCAAACCTAACCTGCCCCCCCAAAAACCAAAGATATAGCAAATCTTTCTGTGGGCATGGTTTCATGTGCTGCCTGCATCCCGCAGTTTTGCTTGTTTGTGTGGCCCAGTTTGTGGCGTGCCATGGACAGTGCCCTCAAGTAACCAGATCCTATGGCTAACAATCAGCACCTTGAATCACATCCAGAAGCAAACTAGCAATTAGAGCCAATGAAATGTTACAGAGGCAGAGTTTTCCGGCAATCTTCAAGGGCGGCACCATATAGAATGCATTGCAATAGCCTAACTATGAGGTGACCAAGGTGCGTGACTATCTGAAGGACCCCTCCCCAATCTGGGAAGGGGCAGAATTGATGCCCCAGATGAAGATCTTTCTGGCCAGAGCTACCACCTGCTCATTGAGCAGAAACTCTCAATCAAGAAGCACCCAAGTAACATATCACCTTTGAATAGGGAAGCACTACTACATCTATTCTTTCATATATCTACATTCCATACAAGGTATATTTTCTTGTATGGAAAAATACATTTGGGAACATTTTTGAACAATGTATATAGGGAATCTGAGGAAATTGTTATGCATTTTTGAGAAGCAGTACAGAAAACTAGGATTTTATTAAAAATACACAACAAACCACCTAGAATCCAGAAATGAGGCATTGTGGTATAAATATAAAAACGTTATTGGCTACTATGCATCCCAATAATAGAATGCAAATAATGAGCATAAATTGTCCCTTTCACATTTTATTTCCCAGAAACACCTTGATAAGAACAGAATCACAGATTTCTGGTTTCATCCAACAGAACTATTTTGTTATCTGTAGGAATTAACAGCTAGCCACAATAAGGGCAGAAAGAGGAGATTTGGTTTGGATAGGTCTTTTTTTTATAGTCTTCTATTATTTTTTTCCATTATATAAAAATGAGGAATTTTGGATTTGTTTACAATTGAAATCCATGCGTAGTGCAGGTCTTGCTTGGTTATCTGGGAAGAGTTCAATCTGGTTGAACCTGAGGATGTGGACAGGGTCCTTGAATTTGTCAGCACCTCACCTGGCAATTAGATCCTAGTTCCCTTTGGATGAAGAAAACCTCTAGGATAATTATTGTCAGGGGTTTCAGGGAATGATAAATTCTTCATTGCATGAGGGTAAGTTCCCAGAGCCATTTAAGGAGGCCTTGGTTCCCCAGTCCTTAAAAAAAAAAAACTTAATCCACCTTCCTGAACAAATTCTGTCCAGTTTTCTGTCTTCCCTTTTTAAGGAAGATGGAAGAAAAGGTGGTTAGAGAATCCTGTGAAACAGATTATCTAACCCCTTCCAGTTAGGATTCAGGGCATCATGGGACAGAAAACAGCATTGGTCACACTTGTTGATGATCTCTGGCAAGAGTGGGATGAAGGTAGTACAACCATCCTTGCCCTCTCAGCAAACTTTAATACTATCAACCATGGTATCCTTTAGGGCCAGCTATGGGGTTTGGGGCTAGGCAACCAAATCTTGCACTGATTTGGCTTTTTTCCCCAATGTCAGTCCCAATTGGTGTTGATAGGGAAAGATTCCAATCCATGCCTGCTTTATGTAGCATGCAGCAGAGCTTCATACTCTCTTAACACTTTTTAAAATCTATATGAAGCCATTGAGATCATCTGCCACCATTTGGTTCTGGATGAGATGTCATTATCCCAGACAGCACCAGTCTGCAATTCCTGGACTCATGACTGCTGCTTGTAGTTGTGGCTAGGGGAGCCTTTGCATAACTTCATATTGTGTGTCAGTTGCACCCCTTCCTGTATTAGGAGTCTCTGCTTAATCACTCAAGCCCTGGTCATCTCATGCCTGAACTACTGCCACATGCTCTACATGAGTAGAGTGCCTCATGTTAAACCACTGTTACACAAACTGCACTGGTTGCCAGTTTGCTTCAGAGTGCAATTCAAATTTTTGGTTATCAGCTTTAAAGTCCTCCATGTCCTGGGTCAAGGTTACCTGAGGAATTGTCTCATCCCAATGGGACTGGTCTGCCCCATTCACCTGGCAGAAAAGGCATGCTTTGGACCCTGTTTGACAAGGTATTCTAGTTGGGGGAGCAATATATGCCATGGTTCCTGCCCTTTCAAACATCCCCCCCCCACTCCAGGGTGAGATCTCTAAAGAAAAGAATTAGGGGTGACACAATAGCGGTATTCCAATAGCGGTATTCCAGAGACTGCCACAAAGAAGAGGGGGATCAAATTATTCTGCAAAGCACCAGAGGACAGGACAAAAACACTGGTTGGAAACTAATTAGAGAGAAGCAATCTGGAATTAAGGAGAAACTTCCAGTGAGGACAATTAATCAGTGAATAGCTTGCCTTCAGATATCATGGGTGCTCCCATCACTGGAAGTTTAAAAAACACCTAGACAACCACTTAACTGAAATAGTATAGGTTCTCCTGCTTGAGCGTGGGGCTGGATTAGAAGACCTTCAAGGTCCCTTGCAGCTATTATATTCTGTTCTATTCTACTCTTATCTGCTTCTACTCTTGACCTTCCATAAGGATCTGAACACCTGGCACTGCCAGCTGACTTGGGGTCCCAAGGGATTAGTATCATACTGGAGGTGATTGATGAACCAATAAAAGATCCCATCTCCTCCCCTGAGCATCCTGCTCTATTCCTCGCCATCTTTTAATTATAATTTGTATTGTTATTAGAATTATTTATTGTTATGGTTTTATTGCTTTTAGTGTTGTAAGCTACCTAGAGCCCCCTTGTGAAGAGATGGGTGGCAAACAAATTTAATAATTTAATAAATAAGCTTAAATAGGCCAAAATTCTAATCCAGTCCAATGGTTTAACCCAGTATTATTTTGAAGCTGTTGCTAACTTGAATGAAACAGAAAAGTATAGACAATAGAAGAAAATAATTGTTTGCCTGTTTTTGCAAAGAACTATTAACCAAATTGCTTAACTGAAATGTTTTCATACATAATTTAATCTGAAATACAATAATCCAAACAGAGCCAAAACAGCATTATTTTAGTTAGCAGTTAGTATTTAAAATACTAATTCTGATTTTTAATTTTTGCTCTGGTAGACATTTTATCAGATTTTTATAATACTATACAGTTCCTTCTGCATTATTTTACATATCCTCATGCTTTTATTTTTCCATTCTTATTTTTAAATATTAACATTTAAATTTAATTACACAAAGTCATTAATTTAATGAAAAATTCCACTTGTTAACCCTCATCACTTAGTTTAGGATTGAAAATTACTGCTGCTCAACCTTGCCAGTAATGTTGCAGTTTTAAAATGCTCAAAACAATTTCTCTTATACAATATGTAAATGTAAGGAATTTCAGAATAATTACTTTTAGATCTGTATCACATTAGGAAAATACAGAATGACAAACCAAACTATCTGAAAGGTGCAGACACAATGGAAAAACAAAATACTTCAATTTACAATGCATTTAATTTATTGCAATTATTTCTTTCTAAGTTCTAGCATTTTCCAGTGACTATGACTGAAAAACACTTTAAGAGAAGAAAGTGGGCTCTGGGTTGAAAATTTGAAACCAAATTTTCTGCAGACCCTAAACAAAGAAGTAACAAAAGATAAAGTGCATATAGGAAGAACAAGGGAGGGTCACAGAGAAAAAAAAGTTGATCAAAACTCTGATAATTTTAGTGCACCTTTATGTAATTTGCATGTTCCCATTCAACTCTATACAATTCTGATTTTTCATTCCAAAAATGTTTAATAATTAATTTTCATCATTAAATACTTATTAAAATACTTTTTAAATAATGACAACATGTACAAATGGTTATTTGAGGAAGCCTAGAACTTCTTGTGTTACTGTTGTCTATCTTGTCTTAATAGTCCTCTTATCCTTTGGATCCTGGCTTCAGGCTTGCAAAAGCTTTGGCATTCTTAAGGGAATAGAAAGTTTCATGGAGGAAAGAGATAAAATGAGAGTCTCTTTCAGACTTTTTGGATTCAAAAATAACCACAATGGTAAAATGAGGTTCAGGTCGTGTTAAGAAGTATGTGCTCTGAACTTTGTCATCAAAGAAATGGACAACCTTTTCCAAAGTATTCAGATCAGAAGCTCTATCAGTCATAATCATGATGACATTAGGCCAGTGCATGACAGGCCTGTCATTGGGTAGCGATACCACTGCTGGATACTGGTCTACACCCTTTGGGGCTTCCCTATAGGACTGTGGGTGATGATAACCATGTCCCTGAAAGCTCTCTGAGCCACGATTGTCAAAGATTAATGAAACATTAACAGCATCGTATTTCCTGATGAAGCTAGAGATTTTCCCAAAATAATCAGGAGTAGCTTTTGCAGTCAAAGTTTTCATTTCAGATAGGGTTGTTTGTCGACTAAGTGCCTCATGAAAATAAAAGCTAAATTTGGCAAGGAGAATATTTTTCAGTTTCATTAGCCACAGGAAAAGGTGTGGAGGTTGAACAGTTTTCTGAGACTGGCCACCAAAAAGATGCTTCTTTGTTTCGCGCTGCTTCTCAAAAATTTGTCCCCATGTCTGCAATTTGGTGTGAGCATTGTGCAAGTGGACCAAGGATGGCAGGAACTTCCATTCAGAGATCTGGGCCTGAGCCTTCAGAAGATGCATAAGCACATCAGTTTCTAACTGGAAACTGCCCTCCAGAGGACTAAGGATTGGGTGATGAAATCTAGAAAAAGGTGGGGGGAGAGAATAGTACATAAAAGGCATTATCTCAACAAGTCATTTATCGTTTTAGTTCAATATATACAAAAACCAGGATATTCGGAGTTCTAGTCTAATCAGCTGGGCAACTTTGAGATGGTCATTTTCTCTCAGCCCAATCCCCCTCACAGGTTTGCTGTTGTAAGAGAAATAGAGAAAAGGAATATCTATAAGAATTTATATGGCCACCCGCTCATTGTCAGTAATTCTGGATGACTTACAAAAATAAATGTTATAAATATTAGGTATTGCTGCTTTATTTATAAAAATAAGGCAGAATATAAAGTTTGATGAATGATCACTCTTATATCACAGTGAGTTTATACCAAATCAGCACTAAGTACCCTTGATACTAGATAAGTGCTATGAATTATTTTATTTACTCAGATGGCACATCTAAAAAGATCGTTATTATCCAACCATTATCCAACAATCATTATCCATCCCATCTCATTTAGTGTACACCTACAGAACTCTTAGGTCTTAATAGAGTACATTCCAATGGCATAAGAGAGATGACCTAAGGATAGCATCAGTTATGTAATTAAATTGTTCTCCATGACATCACTTTTTCTTGTTCGTTCCTTCCCTCAAAACACTTTTGCCTTGAAAATCACATTTGGGCCTCTATAATATGAATTTCAGTTTTTTGCAAATTAATTATCCAATTATGATCTCTGTTTAAGCAAATGTGTACACATGGACTAGTTTTCTGGTTAAAAATGTAAAGATGAAAACAGTGCTATATTTGCATTCGAATTCTAACTCTAAATATTATAATACACTGCTCAAAAAAATAAAGGGAACACTTAAACAACACAATGTAACTCCAAGTCAATCACACTTCTGTGAAATCAAACTGTCCACTTAGGTAGCAACACTGATTGACAATCAATTTCACATGCTGTTGTGCAAATGGAATAGACAACAGATGGAAAGCATACGCAGTTAGCAAGACATCCCCAATAAAGGAGTGGTTTTGCAGATGGTGACCACAGACCACTTCTCAGTTCCTATGCTTTCTGGCTGATGGTTTGGTCACTTTTGAATGCTGGCGGTGCTTTCACTCTAGTGGTAGCATGAGACGGAGTCTACAACTCACACAAGTGGCTCAGGTAGTGCAGCTCATCCAGGATGGCACATCAATGCGAGTTGTGGCAAGAAGGTTTGCTGTGTCTGTAGCATAGTGTCCAGAGCACGGAGGCGCTATGAGGAGACAGGCCAGTACATCAGGAGACGTGGAGGAGGCTGTAGGAGGGCAACAACCCAGCATCAGGACCTCTGCCTTTGTGCAAGGACGGACAGGAGCACTGCCAAAGCCCTGCAAAATGACCTCCAGCGGGCCACAAATGTGCATGTGGCTGCTCAAATGATCAGAAACAGATTCCATGACATCCACAGGTGGGGGTTGTGCTTACAGCCCAACACCGTGCAGGACATTGGCATTTGCTAGAGAACACCAAGACTGGAAAATTCGCCATTGGTGCCCTGTGCTCTTCACAGATGAAAGCAGGTTCACACTGAGCACATGTGACAGACATGACAGGGTCTGGAGATGCCGCGAAGAACGTTCTGCTGCCTGCAACATCCTCCAGCATGACCGGTTTGGCAGTGGGTCAGTCATAGTGTGGGGTGGCATTTCTTTAAGGGGCTGCACAGCCCTCCATGTGCTCACCAGAGGTAGCCTGACTGCCATTGGGTACCGAGAGGAGATCCTCAGACCCCTTGTGAAACCATACGCTGGTGTGGTTGGCCCTGGGTTCCTCCTAATGCAAGACAGTGCTAGACCTCATGTGGCTGGAATGTGTCAGCAGTTCCTGCAAGACGAAGGCATTGATGCTATGGGCTGGCCCGCCCATTCCCCAGACCTGAATCCAATTGAGCACATCTGGGACATCATGTCTCCATCCACCAACACCACATTGCACCACAGACTGTCCAGGAGTTGGGGGATGCTTTAATCCAGGTGTGGGAGGAGATCCCTCAGGAGACCATCTGCCACCTCATCAGGAGCATGCCCAGGCGTTGTAGGGAGGTCATACAGGCACGTGGAGGCCATACACACTACTGAGCCTCATTTTGTTTTAAGGACATTACATCAAAGTTGGATCAGCCTATAGTGTTTTTTTCCACTTTAATTTTGAGTCCAGATCCAGACCTCCATGGGTTGCTAAATTTGATTTCCATTGATAATTTTTGTGTGATTTTGTCGTCAGCACATTCAACTATGTAATGAACAAAGTATTTAATAAGAAAATTTCATTCATTCAGATCTAGGATGTCTTATTTTTGTGTTCCCTTTATTTTTTTGAGCAGTGTATATATAACAATATTGAAAAATTTCCTAAACTCTGTTGATACTATTAATATATTACATATTTTCCAAAAATAGGAACTAAATCTTATTTTTTGAAATTTAAAACATGCTTTCATTTTATCCAGTGGCTCATCTGATAAGTCCTAATCAGCGTTTAGATCGGGGGTTGCCAACCTTTTGCACCTCAGGGACCACCAAACACATAATTTTAAATCCTGCAGACCACTAATATGAATTTTGACTGATGGTGGCTTGCTGACATTGGTGGGAAAGTCGGTCCTATATTCCAGAGCTGCAGTAGTCACAGGACTGGCCCTTTGGTCATCCCGGAGCAGCTTCTCCTCCACCTGGGTACACCGGCCTGCCATGGACTGGAGGAGCTCCTCCGGGATGATCAAACGGCCAATCTTTTGACTACTGCAGCTCTGGAATATGGGACTGACTTTCCCACCAACGTCAGCAAGTCACCCCAGGGCAGATTTCCCTCCCCCCTTGGTCTTACCTTCCAGTTTCAGCTCGCGTGGCTCTATTCAAGGTAAGGTTTGTGCTCGGCCGAAGGGTGGGGACCAGAGGGTGGACAGGCCATGTGGGTGGAGTAGCCTTGTGTTCCCGTGCAATCTGGATTAATTGCTTTGGGGGGAGTGCTTTGGGGGGGACACATTTCTCTGCGGACCACCAAAATTTTCTCAAAGTTGGTAACCAATGGTTTAGATAGTAGACAACAGCAGAATTTCAGCGCTGTTGGCTAGATTGGAAAAGTCCTAAAACATCCTGAAAGCACAGTAACCCACTTTCTTACTGTTGGAAGAATAACTGTGCAAATAGTTACCAAGAACTCAACTTGAGAGTATTGTTACTTTTACCATATTAATAAGAATTTTACAAATCTCCAGTCATCCCATACAACATACACATACTAACCTTGAGCTGTATCTTTTGAGGATGGATTCTAAAACATTTATCAGTTCCTCAGAGTTTATATACTTTTGAGTACTGAGGCTGTACATTTTTTCATAAAAGTCAGCAATTTCCATCCGAGCCTGGACAAAGAAGCAGAGCTGCTCAGAAAGATGAGAGAGTAGTTCTTCAAGGTGAGGAGCTGTTCCTCCCACTGCATTCCGACCAGTTGCTACCACCTTCTTTAGCTCATTATGCAGAGATGTATATATAGTTCGTATAGAATCCTTCCGGCTGAAGAATGATTGCCCACCTATTGTTTGTTGTTAGAGAAGAGGGTGTTATTAAAGATAGGAATGAAATGGAGAATAAGATACAATATTCATGCAAATTTTCTTTGGTTTGTTACACTCAGGACCACATTTTAACAGCTGCTTTCATTATTCCTTAATACCAGTATATATTCATACTATAGTTAAAATATTAACTTATGTTTTATCAGTATGATGTTTCTATTTAAAAACTCCCATATCTCTCAAAATCCAACCTTTTTTCCCCCAATATTTAGAATTTTTAAATTAGTTATAATGACAATGAGTTCCTTTCTTGGGGAATTAATGTAAAGAGTCATTGTTAAATGTTGATACTTCACATTGCTACTAAAAGCTCTAGAAGATGGTTCAGCTTTTTGAACAATCAGAAGATGGAATACAGCAATTGAGGTAATTAATGGCTATATGTACCAGAAAACTTGCATATAAAACAACAAGACTATTGTTATAACCATGAAGAGAATTAAGAAAGAAAAATAACCTTTCCATGAAGGTAGATCTATAGGCAGCTGCAGATTTAGAACCACTTTTAAATTAGAAGTATACTTTTTTCTTGCATTTTATCCCTTCTTAAATACTAAGACATTTTCATTACTTTCCTCAGAATGTGCCAGTCATTTTATTATCAAGTTATTTTTTAAATATTTTTGAACTACTATATAGTTTCATTTCTCTCTCCATCTTCCTTTCTTTCTTTGATCTGTAATTTTTATGTGTCTCTAAATCAGGAGTTTTTAGCACTACTACAAATTATATCAATTACTCACATTACATAATGCAATATAATCCAGAAAAAAGCCTATAAATACCAACTTTGGTACTTCAAGGGCTAGTCTTAAAAATATGAATAAAATTTATATTACATTAGCTGGCAGACTGTTCCTACTCCATATATCATAAATGTCCATCATAAAATGGGCAGCACAACTCTCCAAATACCGATCTATATTACAGCCACAGTTAATCAGATGGGGTGTGTGTGTGTGTGTGTGTGAATTTGTTACTTGTTTCAAGAAAACATTAATTTTTCCTATGTAATCTGCACATTCTGTCCAAAAGTAACACCTCCCCACCATAAGCAAGGACAGTGGCACTTGTAAGACCTCAACCCCAAATATATTCGCTAAAGATGCAGAGGAAGGAAAGAGAGAGGTGTGCAGAAGTCATTCAGAATAGAGCAACGGTGCTTCGGATAAGCTTAGAAATGCACGAATTTGGAAAAGTGAATCGGTTCTGTAAGAAAGGTCGGGATTGAAGCCTCCCCAGCGCTGACTTTTGGCAAGCCTTGAGGGAGGCTCAGCAGATATGAGGAAAAGGCTTCTCCCCCTCCACACACACACCCTCCCTGCAAGGGTTGACGTGCCCATGACTCAGGACTTCTTCCCAGGGAAGCGCCCCCAAAGCAAAACGGGGACAAGGTGGGAGAAGGCCAACTGCAGCGCCCAGCAGCAGCAGCAGCCCGAGTTCGGGTACCTAGCTTCTGGCCCAGGAAGGTCATGTTATGGTAGGCTTTTTCAGCCGCCGCCAGATGGGCCAGTCCTGCCAGGAGCGAAAGCCAACTGCTCCCGGCATTCTTATTGGCTTCGCGCTCCTTTTCCACGTTGTCCTTGGCCTTGTCGTAGGAGAAGATGCCTAAATGAGAGAAAAACGTCTCCAGCACGGCCTGCTCTACCGGGACTGGCGCTCCCACGGGCATCGGCTCCCCCATTCGCCGCCCGCCGCCGCCGCCGCGACGATCGCGGCTCCCCCCGCTCGCCATCCTTGGCGCCAAGCGAGAACCCCCGGACCCCACAGGAACAACAGGCGCGAGCCCAACCCCTTCCCCCTTCAGGAGCCATTCCGGAGAGGCGGTTGGGAAAGGCTCAAGCCCACGTGACTTATCGGGGACGGGAAGGGCGTGGCAACGAGGTGCCGGTGGAAGCGGCTTGAATCAGCTGTTGGGTTAGGAGGGAGACGTTCTTCCGCGTGTACCCGAGGAAGGAGGTCTTATCCATTTCGAATAGTAGCAAGAGCCGCGAGGGAGAACTAAAGAGCTAATTAAGGTCACAGAGCTGAGCTTAATTCGGGCTTAGCGCTTATTTGGGAAACGCTGAAAAAGGCTGCTCAGCGAAGAGCCTTTGTGGTGGTCTGACATTTGAAATGAGACGCAGGGAAAACGTCTGAG